CCCAGCACCACCCCGGTCAGGCCCTGCCCGCGCCAGGTGGGCACGGTGTACCCATGGGTCAGGCAGCCCAGGGGGTCCAGGACACTCCAGGACACGGGGCGCCCGCGGGGTCCCAGCAGGCAGGCACTGGGCAGGGTCTGCACCAGCCCCAGCAGGTATCGCTGACTGCGCACGTTGCCACCAGAACCCCACGTGGCGTTGAGCAGCGGGACGTGGGACGGGGACACGGGTGCCAGGCGCAGCCCTGGTGGCACCCTGTGATGGGGGCAGAGTGGAGAGACGGTGTGGGGAACCTGCACCCCCCTCTCTCAGCAAGGGTAGCACAGGAGAGCTACTGGGCCCTGGGGTGGGATTGGGGACCCACCGTGCCACTCAGGTATGTGCTTGGGGACTCTCCACATCACCCAGGGATGTGTTCAGAGACCCCTGTGCCACCCAGGAATGTAACTGGAACCCCTGTTCCACCCAGGGATGTGCTCAGGGACCCGTGTGTCACCCAAGAATGTGCTCAGAGACCGCAGTGTCTCCCAGAAATGTGCCTGGGGTTCCCCTTCATGTCACCCAAGAATGTGCTCAGAGACCCCAGTGTCTCCCAGAAATGTGCCTGGGGTTCCCCTTCATGTCACCCAAGAATGTGCTCAGAGACCCCAGTGTCTCCCAGAAATGTGCTCGGGGACCACCTGCATCACCCAGGGATGTGCTCGGAGACCCCTGTACCACCCAGGGATGTGCTCAAGGACCTCTGTGCCACCCAAGGGATGTGACTGTGACCCCGGTGCCACCCAGCAATGTGCCTGGGGATCCCCGTGCCACCCAGAAATGTGCTTGGGGACCCCCCACCTCATGTCAGCCATGGACGTGCTGAGACCCCTATGCCAACCAGGGCTGTGTTTGGGGAACACCCACACCACCCAGCAATGTTCTCAGGGACCCCTGTGGCACCCGGGGCTATGACTGGGCCCTCCGGTGCCCCCGTGTCCCCAGGTGCCCCCTCACTCACTGCTTGCGGGGCTGTGGGGGCTGGGGGCTCAGCAGGGCCTGGTACCGATACGTCTCCATCCGCAGCCCCTTGGCATCGGCCGCCTGGCGCATGGCCTGGTACATCCCCTCCTGCATCCCTGCAAGGCACCCTCGGCCTGGGCAGGGCCACAGCGGGTCGGGGGTTCCCTGACCTTCCCCCCCAGCCCATGCCAGCCTTACCATGAATCTGGAAGGCCTTGGTCCACCCCACCGCCTTGGTGCCCCGCAGCAGCGCCCGCCAGGCACCCTCATCCCGGTAGTACACGGTCAGCTGGTTGGTGTAGAAGTCCCCAGGGTCCTTGTTTTCCTGGTGGTGAAGAGGGTCTGGACATGGCCCCTCCAGCTCCACAGTGTGTGGGGGTACTGTCAGGGTGGGAGGGGGTGTACCCAGAACAGCACCTCTGGACGCAGGCGGGTCAGAACAACGCCAAAATGGGGCCAGGAGTCCACCAGCACCTCGTAGGAGGCTGGGTTCCCCAAGGCAATCGTCATCACGGTCCCCAGGACCTGCAGAACAGGGTTGAGTGCTGGAGGGGGACGCAGGGGGAGCTGTGATGGGCAGTGGGGCGGTGACAGGTCCTTCTGTGTCCCCTCCCAGTGCCTGGCTGCACCCTGTTGGTGTGGGGGGCCAGGACACCATGTGGGGATGACCTGAGGTTCCTGTCACAAGCAGGGCAGAGGAGAGGGGGCAGAGGGGTCCCCAGGGTCCCCGTCACCAATACCACCAGGTGGTGAGGGCACAGGACACCCTGGAGACCCCATCGCCAGCAGGGAGGGGAAGGAAGGACAGGGGTATCTGGGGTCCATGTTACTGGTGGGGGGGGGGAGGGAGGCAGAGGGTTCCCCGAGGTCCCCAGGGTCCCTGTCACCGGCAGGGTGGCAGGCAGGCTCCTCCGCAGGGCCTCCTCCAGGCGCTGCAGCTGGACCGGGCACGTCAGGATCTGCATGGTTGGGTGTCCGTGGGACAGGCGGTGACACCGAGGATCTGTGGAGCAGGCGGTGACACTGAGGATCCCGGGGCTGTGGGTTGCTGGTGGCTGTGGGGCAGGGTGTCCCAGTTGAACACCCGTCCCCAAGGCAGGCAGGGCTGGCCCCATGCCCGGTGCCCGGCAGGATGGACCCTGCCCACTGCCCCGCTATGTGACCACCCCCCGGGCAGGGGACACTCGCTGGCCCGTGACATCTTGTGGTGGCTCTGGGACCCCTGCCAGTGTCAGTGCCTGCTCTGCAGAAGCAGGGACCTGCTGGTGTCACCGCTTGCCCCACGCTCTCCAGGCGCCCACCCCACAGCCCCCTGTGACCCACGGCTCCAGGACTGCTGTAGGGTGAGTGCTGGAGGGGCTAGGGCCACCCCAAGGCTGGGGACGGGGACAGGGATGGGGTCCCCACCTGGGGGTCTTGTCCCCCTGTTATTGTAGGTTCTCTTGGCAGGACCATGCTGATCCTGACATGCCCGGCCAAGCTGCACTTGTCCCCCTGTTATTGTAGGTTTTCTTGCCAGGACCATGCTGATCCTGACATGCCCGGCCCAGCTGCAGCGCTTGGAGGGGGCCCTGCGGAGAAGCCTGCCCCTCGCCCTGCCGGTGACATAGACCCCACTGTCACTCCTGCCCCGTGCCATGACCAGGGCCCCAGTATCACTCCCCCTCAATGCCATGATGAGGACCTCACTGACACCCCTGCCTCGTGCCATGACAGGGACCCCCCGTCACTCCTGCCCCTTGCTGTGACAGGGACCCCATTGTCACCCCCATCCCTTGCCCCTGGTGATGGGTACTCCACTGTCACCTGCCCTTTCTCACCTCTTCAGGGACAGGAACCCCAGTGTCACCCTGTCCCCATACCTGCCATACCCCATACCCCCCAGGTGTCCCAATGGGAGCACTCCTGGGCATCCCCCAACCCCAGGGCTGGCTCCGAGCCCACCAGTTCCAGCCCAGCTGGACTCTTCCCCAGCCAATCCCAGCCCAGCTTGGTTCTGAGCCAGCCAATCCTCTTCCAGGCTCATATAAACCAGCCAATACCTTCCCAGACCCCCATACAAGCCGGCCAATTCCAACATAGCAGAGCGCAAAGCAGCCAATCCTTGCCCCTCCCCTCCAGCCGCGCCCACCCCCTAAGTCCCGCCCATTTGTGGCCGCCCTGGCTTTAGGCTCTGCCCCCTCTACCTGCACCGCACCGAGCTCTATGGGGAAGGGGTCGTTTATGAGGCGAGGGCAGGGTGCTGGGAAGTGCATCCAGGCTGTGCCAGCTCAGGAAGCTCCGAGGGGTCCAAAATCTGCCCCTGTGCCCCATAAACCCCCCATTTCTGACCCCTCTTTGCCCACAGGTCTATGGGGCCGTGCTGAACATCAACCGGGGGAACCCGGGAGAGTTCGAGGTGGTGGTGGACAGGTGGCCTGATTTCAGTGCCGTGCTGGCGCGGCGCAGCGGAGAGGTGGCCGGGGGAAACACGGGGTGGGCACAGTGGCCTGGCATGTGCTGGGGGGGCTCATGTTCCCATGGGTGCCCCGCAGTTGCCGGTGGATGACTGCTACAGGAACATGCAGGTGGCTTTCTACCGGGACGTGGGCGCCTACCGGGCGCTGCTGGAGACCCCCGGCTGCCTGCGCTGGGACACCGCCTTCCACATCATTGGTGGCCTGGGGACCAGGGGATCCTGGGGAGCACCAGGGAGGATCTGGGCAGGGATAGTGCGTGCTGTGGGTGGGAATCTGGGGTGCTGGGAGTGTGGGACACCAGGGAAGAGCCATTGGTGGTAGGGGGTAAGGAACTGGAGGCACTGGGTTATACTGGTAGAAGGAATTGGGGGTGCTGGGCAGGCATTTGGGTACCGAGGAGGAGGCACTTGGGGTAGAGGTTTGATAAATGCTGTCACTGGGGAGTACTGGGACTGGACTTCGTGGTGCTGGGGGCCACTGGGGAGCATTGTGGTTGGACTTTGGGGTGCTTGGGGGCACTGGGGGCAGGAATTGGGGTGCTGGACACACTGGGAACAAGGGTTAAGCTACTGGGGATAGAGACTGGGGTTGTGGGGAGCCCCAGGGACACTGGAGGGCACAGCTGGTGTGCTGGGATCAGACAGAGGGGGTGGGGAGGCAGGAATGGGGGTGCAGGGCCCCCTGACAGCACTGTCTGCAAGACAGGCCTGCAAGACGGACTGGCCACGGTGTCACAGGCCATCGCGGGGACCAAGGGCATGGAGCTGGAGGTCTCTGAGTACTACACCTACC